CTGATATTATCTTAGTACGATTGTGTTTAATTTCAAGTTTTTCTTCTGCTCTAGTTTGGTCGTAAGGATCAGCAGAAAGAGTTCGCAATTATGCAAATATCTGAATATATTGATAATGTTGTATTTATTTTTTTTTATTTTTTTTTTTTAATATTAAAGTAACCACTTAGGCCATTGGCACGAGCTTTATTCAGGTAGTTATGATATTATATCTGTTTTATGAAGATACAACTAGCCACATGTGCACCTTTTGGATGCCTAATTTAAGTAGTCCACCTGGGTTCTACACTAGCTACTATACCTGCAATCTAACTAAAAGATTACCTATTTAAGCTCTCTGGTTATTTCTAACTAGCTATACATGCAACTTTTGGTTGCTTATTTAAGTAGTCTGCTCTAGGTTCTACACTAGCTACCATACCTATAACCCAACTAAGGAGTTACCCATTTATATCTTCTGGCTACTACTTTTGTAACATGCTCTACCCTAACACTCATATGAGATTAGCAATTGCCATGGATGACTCTAAGACTTTAGCCAAACAATATTAAGACATTTATCCTTGTGGTAAACTTAACAGAATAGTACATGTCCTACTCATATATTCACCTGCATGTTTGGTAACTTTTACCTAACTAGTACCTGTTGTGCTACTGCCATCAGGTTTATATCTCAAGCTATCTTTTTAGATACTGCCATAACCCTATCTATATCTCAAGCCACAACCTTTCTAATTAGGATCCTGTTATGTACTTCTTGCCTTTATGAGGTTTACAACAACTCTAGTACCCACATTCTAACTTCTTTTTTTTCTGAATTCCTTACTAGTCCTTTCTTTATTTCTAGCTGACAACTTGGAAGGGTTAGTCTGCCCAGGCTTTAGGTGCCTCATGGTCACCCTTCTTTTAGTACATACTTTCAGAGTACAAGTTCTTTTTCTTTGGTTAGTAGTCTAGTAGTTTGGCTAGTATATCTTCCTACTTAAGAATCTGGTTGTTTGGTTCTCTAATCTCAGTTCTCAGTTCCAAATTTGACCTTCCTGTAGCACCATCAAAGATCACTGCTACTTCATACTTGGGACTTGCCAAATGGGTTTTCAGTAATTCTAATTTCCTAAATTTATTGCGCCGAAGCTCCCATTCGAGATGGTATGACCAAGATTATAGATATCTGGATCCAACTGATAATCTTAATATTAACCAATACAAATCTAGTTTTTTCAAAATCATTGTTTATAAGATTTGAACTCTAGACTTGCTATCTAGAGGTGCAACAACTCCACCACTTCACTTAGTCACTATACCTTTTAATATTGCATTTATATGTGTATAAAATTTGGAATCCACTTAAAGTTTGGAACTGGTTTTAATTTTCCATATTTAAACCTAATTAAAATGGGTTTAATATATATAAAAATAAAGCTAATTTCCATAAGTAAATTCTAAATATGTATAAGCAAAATTTTAAATTTACTCAATTTGATAAAAAATTTTAAACTAATGTTAATTCAGAATCTTTTGCAATTACATTTTATAAAAAAAAAAAAACAATTAGATCCAAATTATTTTAAGATAAGTTGTTCAAGTTTGTATATATACTGTTTGTTGTAAATACTTTTAATTTCATTTTTATTAGTTTTGTATATAAGTATAAAAATTAATCAATATAAAATATCTATTACTGATATTTTTTAACTTTACTAATAACTAAAGAATGCTTTTATTATTAATTCAAGTAATTGTTTGAAATATCTTAAATATAAAAATTACAATATATAATATGTACAAGCTTCAAGAAAATCAAATTTATATTTTTATTATATAATCTAATAGACATCAATGTCCGTTAGATCATATAATTATCAGTTATACCTAGGTTTATAATTTTTTGTATTATAGTTGCATTAAATTTAGAAGCTTGATAAAAAACTTGCTTATTTTTTAAAAGACTTCTAAGAAATTCATTGTACTTTTCATTAATTGTAGACATAAAATATATTGCTATAAGTTCAGATTTAATAAGAATATTAGAAGAGTATTGAGTTACTTAAAGTAATTCAAGTAACTACTATGTCCATACCTAATAGTGTCTTTTGTATCTTTCAGTGAAACTAAAAAGTTTTTTCATTTTATCTTTAATAAGACCACATAAAACTTTATAGTTTGAAAATATATTATTATTTTCTTGATATTTATTTACATATATTACTGCAAGTGAGATGAAAGAATGATATAACTTGTATAGTATATATAACCTAAATTCCTCAATTATATGTTTTGCAGATCCAAGTTTATTAAATAAATCTACCTAACTTTCAAGATAGTTTTTTATTGATTTAATATCCTTAACTAAATAAACAGGTAATTCTTAAGATAGTTGATAAAAAACTTTATTGCTATTGTTGAAAAATAGATGATCGAAGTTTATTGTAAGAAAACTTTCAATAGAATTATTTAAAAAAAGGTAATTATCATATATAATCAACTTTTCTTTAATAGTATTTCTAAAAGTTAGTTTTAGATACCAGGCCATACTATACTTGATTTTTATAATACTGTCTGAATCTAGAAAAATATTTAATATAGTTAAAATTTTTAATAAAATTAAATTAATATACAATAAAACTTACTATTTAACTCTAAATTATTAGATTTAGTGACTTTTTTTTTTGGATTATACAATGCTGATTTATATATATCCTGCTATATTATTTTCCAAGGTATTTGCCACTGGATCTTATATAAAAGTATAAACATTATATGTAATAATTTTATCCACATATATAGTTAATCAGAGTATAAGAATCAATATTCAAATTTCTTACATTTTCAAATAATTCTTTATTTGGATTATCTAATGTTTCAGTTGTATTTATCAAAACCTAAAAGTATAAAAATTATATATGAGAATTAATTTATAAATATATATAGTAAGGTGTGATGACTTAGTGAAGTGGTGAAGTTGTCGCACCCCAGATGGCAGGTTTAGAGTTCGAATCCCACAGACAATGATTTTGAAAAAACTAGATCTGTATTGGTTAATGTTAAAATTATCAGTTGAACCCAGATATCTATAATCTTGGTCACACCATCTCGAATAAGAGCTTTGGTACAATAAATCCAAGAAACCAGAATTACCAAAAACCCGTTTGGCAAGTCCTGAGTATAGAGTAGTAGTGATCTTTGACGGTGCTATAGGAAGGCCAAATTTGGAACCAAGAACTGAGACCGAAGAACCAAACGACTAGATCCTTAAGTAGGAGATATACTAGCTAAACTACCAGATCGCCAACCGGAGGAAAAAGACTTGTATTCTAGAAGTATGTATCAAGAGGAGGACAACCATGAGGCACCTAAAGCCTGGGCAGACCAACCCTTCAGGTTGCTAGCTGGAAGTAAGGGAGGGACTAGTAAGGAATTTAGGAAAAAAGGAAGTTGGAATGTAGGTACCAGGGTTGTTGTGAACCTTACAAGGACAAGGAGTATATAATGGGATCCTAATTAAGAAGGTTGTGGCTTGAGATACAGATTAGGTTATGGCAGTATTCAAAAAGATAGCTTGAGATACAAACTCGATAGTGGCAGCACAACAGGTACTAGTTAGGTGAAAGTTACCAGAACATACAAGTAAATATATAGGTAGGATATGTACTATTCTGTTGGTTTATTACAAGGATAAATGCCCCAATATGGTTTGGCTAAAGTCTTAGGATTATCTACGGCAATTGCTAATTTCATATAAGCGTTAGGGTAGAGTGTGTTACAAAAGTAGTAGCTAGAGGATTTAACTAGATAACTCCCTAGTTGGGTTATAGGTACAGCAGCAGTGTGGAACCTAGAGCAGACTACTTAAATAGGCAACCAAAAGTTGCATATATAGCTAGTCATACTCTCATTAGAAATAACCAGTGAGCTTAAATAGGTAATCTTCTAGTTAGATTGCAGGTATGGTGGCTAGTGTAGAACCCAGATGGACTACTTAAATTAGGCACCCAAAAGTGCACGTGTGGCTAGTTGTATCCTCGTAAAATGAATATAATATCATAACTATCTGAATAAAACTTGTGCTAATAGCCTAAGTAGTCACCTTAATATTAAAAAAAAAATAATAATAAATTTATATAGTTAATCTTAATATAAAAAAACTATGTTAATAATTTTGCTTCTTACTTTTTTAATTGATTTTTCATTTAAATCATTGTCTAAATCCTAAATTATAATAAAATTGTATAAAATTCAATTAGATATATATATATAATCTGAATATAAGAAACAATTGTGCTAATAGTTCAAGCTTCTTACGCTTTTGTTTGATTTGTTATTTGAAAATTTTAATGGTGAATTTGAAGCATTGTCTAATTTTTAAAAAAATTACAATAAACAACAATTAAATTTTACAATATAACAATTGTAAAAAAATAAATAAATAGTATATATATTATTTAAATTATTTAAATCAGGAGAAATAAACTATAAAGATATAATATCTAATATATAAATTAAATTTAGTATTTTATAAATTTGTATGCAGTACTAATTAATTTGCCTTACCTTCATTTGTGCTTTTAAAATCCAAAGGTTCATATATATGCTATAGAAAAAAGTAAATTATTTAATTAATAATTTATTAAAGTAAACATATTTACAAAAATTAATATTTATATACCTTTCATTTAACTTTGTTATATTTATTATTAGATTTCAATGCTTTATGTTTATTTACTTTACATTTATTCTTTGCATTTTTTCTTTGAGGTTTAACAAAGCTATCATTAAGACCAACTACTGCTTTATTGCATTAACTATAAAAATTAACTTTATTTAAATTTTAATATATTTAATATAAAAAATTTCATTGCTGATATGATAGTTAGACTTTATCTATGTAACAAGATTATTATGATTGTTATTAGACAAAGCTTCACAGGTAGTTTTTTTTTCATTATACTATTAATTAAAATTATTAGAATATAAATATTATTATTTAAATATTAATATTATTAGTTAGAACTTACTTGAGTAATAGGATTATTATCATTATGCTCGTTATTAGATGAGACTTTAAAGATATTACTGACATTGCTAGGCTTATTACTATTTCTGTTATTCTGTTAATTAAAATTATTAGAATCTAAATATTATTATTCAAATATTAATATTTATCAATTAGACTCACTTGAGTAATAGAATTATTATCATACTCGTTATCAGACAGAACTTTGAAAATTTTATTATCATTGTTAAGCTTATTACTATTTCTATTATTCTGTTAATTAAAATTATTAGAATCTAAATATTATTATTTAAATATTAATATTTATTAATTAGAACTCACTTGAGTAATAGAATTATTATCATACTCGTTATTAGACAGATCTTTAGAAATTTTATTAATGTTGCTAGGCTTATTACTATTTTCATTATTCTGTTAATTAAAATTATTAGAATCTAAATATTATTATTTAAATATTAATATTTATTAATTTGAACTTACTTGAGTAATAGGATTATTATCATTACACTTGTTATTAGAAGGAACATCAGAAATTTTATTAACGTTACTAGGCTCATTACTATTTAATATATCTACTCTGCTATTCTGTTAATTAAATTATAATTAAATACATTAATATATATTAATAACTTATTAATATATATAAATAGAATTTATCTAAACAAGTTCATTTTTATTTGATAAGTCTTCAGAGCTGTTATTTGATTCATTTTGTTATATATTATTTGATGAAGTTAAATGAAGATCCATTTCACTATTCTGTTGTTATTGATAATTCAGATTAGATCTAATACAAGAAAGCATCTAAAACACAACATATATACTCTTTTTATATTAAGTTTTTTATATTAATCAAGTGGTATAGTTAATTGATGATCTACAAGTCAACCAGAGAGTAATTATAGTGAAACATAATGTAAATCACTTATAGAAATTGAGTTTTACAAATATAGTATGCATAATATTGTTAGTCAAAATAATTTAGATATTTAGGCATTTAGACAAATTAAATTTAAACAATTTTAACTTTGTTATTTTTTTAAAAATTATTATTAAAAAATTAAAAAAATTTAATTTAGACATTTAGACATTTAGACAATCTAATTTAGACAAATTTTAATATTAGCAAAAATAATTTTGACTAACAACATTAGATATGCACATATTTAAAACTTTTTTTTATACTAAGTTAACTACTTTTCTAATTTAAGAAACTTTTGTAAAGCTTGTTAAAACATATCTAATAGTGGTTAAATTATTTAAATTAGCCTGATAGATGCTAAAATATCTTTAAAAAATCTTTCTTTAACTATATAAATTTTTTTGTAAAATAATAGTATTGTTTTAAAAAAATTTATATAGTTAAAGAAAGGTTTTTTAAAAATATTCCAGTATTTACTAAGCTGATTTAAATAATTTGACTACTATTAAATATGTCTCAACAAGATTTATAAAAATCTCTGAAGTTAGAAGAGTAGTTAACTTAGTATAAAAAAAGTTTTAAATACATGCATGCTATATTTGCAAAACCTCAATTTTTATAAGTGATTTGCATTATATTTCACTATAATTACTTTCTGGTTGACTCGTGAATCACCAATTAATAATATATTTATCTATTTTATATATATATTTATAATAATTAGTATTTTTACTAATTTATATAAACTTTTTTTTTAAAGTTTTTGTTTTTAGTACTATAACTATATTACTATACTTTTGTTATTTAATACAAAATAGCCTTATAAAGCCTTAGAGATTTCTAAACTATATAATCTTAAAATTCTTTTTGTAAAAAAATTTTAAAAGTTTTTTTTTAAAACTGATTGTTATTTTTAGATAATAAAAAATACTTTTGTTTTTTAAATTGAAAATAGTTTTAGAATAATAGCAATTTTTTTTGTACACCAGTTTCATATAACCTTATATACACCAATTTAATTAAATTTTTTAAATATTTAAGTGAAGATTTCCTAGCATCTATCTATACAAATTCAATAAATTTTTTTTTATTTTAATTTCAATATCTTTAGAATTAAAAAAAAAAAGTTCATCGAATTTGCTTAGGTAGTCATCAAAATATCTTTACTCAAAGTTAGTAGAAATTCAAAACAACTATAATAAAGAAGCAGTCATCAGAAAATTTTTTATAGAAATAAATATTGATATATAGCAAAAAATTGATAAATATCGATTAGAAAATAATGATATATGGGGGGAAGTCAATAGAAAAGGGACAAATTTTTTCTAAGTAAAAGTTTTCTTGACTTTAAGCTTAAATATC